ATCCTATGTGTGATTTATACACAAGGGAGATTAATCCCAAACTCTATTTCTTCTATATTCAACATGGTATCTAGAGCTTAAGGTTATTTTGAATTTTTTTTCGCCTTTAACCACTATTGAAGCCGTCACCACCGCCACTATCGTCGTCTGCTATTTGGTAGTGTGAAAGTGCATGTCTAGGAAAGTTCCGACAAGGAAAGACTTGGTATTTAAGCGTGTCCATTAGTGACTCACCTCTCTTTCCCGGGAACTTACCTGGTGTACTGGTTCACGCCGTCGTCACTATCACCTCTCGCCCTTTATGAGTTCTTCCGCTCCTTTTAGTACTTCCAACTCGTCAAGCATCGCGTCCGATCCTTCCATCTACACTAACTATGTTAATGTGCACTTATCCATTGATAAGTTAACCGACCTTAATTATGCCACATGGTCATCGACGTCGGATTATGGCTTAAGAGTCGAAGTATCTTGATCATCTTGCCCCGAAAGCACCTACTCTCACTCCTGGTGAGAAAGACCGTTGGGACACCATTGATGCTCAATTATGCGTGGTTCTCAAGGGTACTCTTGATCCTTCGTTAAAACAAATTTTTCGTTCCTACGAAACATGTGCCAAAATCCGGGAACATGCCAAGTTATTATACACCAATGATACTCAACGTCTCTATGATGTCTGTTCTAAATTTGTAGATGTTATTGCCTCTAAACATCAAGATTCTATGACTGATTATATGGGCAAAATTCATGCTCTTTTTCATGAGTTCAATGAGTTATTGTCTCCTTCCCCGACCCCGCCACCGAGATAGGACAACGATCAAAGTTCTTCATGCTAGGGGCATTACACTGACTTGCCGATCAATATTCACATATTCGTGATCGATTTTGGGTTCTCCGATTGTCCCCACCTTGACATCAACCTCGCTTCACTCTTTTGCGTATACCAAAGAAACTCAACCCCGACACACCCGCTTCGTTAATGATTCTTCCGCATTGGTATCTCACCGTGATGATCGAACTCGCCCTCGCAAACAGGGAAAAGGGCGTCTTAAGTGTGAACATTGTGGCAAACTAGGTCACAAGATTGACCAAGTGTTATGCATTACATGAGTGTGAACATTGTGGCGAACTAGGTCACAAGATTGACAAGTGTTATGCATTACATGGTCGTCCTACTCGATCTACCGCAGCTTGCTCGATCGATTTTTCCCCACCTTTATCTCGCTAAGGATCCTCCTTCTTCTATTTCATCGACACACCTGCTATGTTCAACAAATTTCTCAAATGGTATAAGGATCAACAGTCTTCTAGTTCCACCGTGTCTGTCGCACACACAGTACATCTTTTGTCGGTCCGACCCAATCTTCTTCTAGTCCTTGGGTTTTTGATTCAGGAGTCACCGATCATATTACCGGTAACAAATCTTTGTTCTCCTCTTTATCCTCTCCCGATCCTTTACCTTTTGTTACACTAGCCGATGGCTCTAGAGTATCATCTCATGGTGTTGGAACTGTTAAACCTTTCCCTTCTTTAACCATTGATAATGTTCTTTATGTCCCTGGGTCTCCTTTTAACCTCGTTATCCATCGACCGTCTAACTCGTTCTCTTGATTGTGTTGTTTCTTTTACCAACAATTCCGTGTGTTTACGGGACCGGAGTTCGAAACGAGTGATTGGCACAGGATGTGAGTCTCATGGTCTTTATCATCTTCGTCCCTTTACACATGTTGGTGCAGTTATAGAGTCTCCTCTCTTCTCCATGCTCAGCTTAGGTCATCCAAGTCTTGCCAAGTTACAACAACTTGTCCCCGCCTTATCTAAATTGTCTAGTTTGGCATGTGAGTCGTGTCAATTAGGCAAGCATAGTCGTACTTCCTTTCCTCATAGTGTCACACGTGGTGCTTCGTCCCCTTTTGCCGTGGTTCACTCGACATTTGGGGACCTAGCCGCGTTAAGTCTACTTTAGGTTTTCAATACTTTGTTACTTTCATTGATGATTATTCCGGATGCACTTGGTTATTTTTGATGAAAAATCGTTCGAATTATTTCATATCTTTCAAGCTTTTTTCAATGAAATTCAAACTCGGCTTCGGTGTTTCTATTAGAGTTTTGCGCAGTTGATAATGGTCGTGAATATCTTTCTCATTCTTTTAAACAATTCATGGCTTCTCATGGTATTTTGCATCAAACTTCTTGTGCTTATACACCTCAACAAAATGGTGTAGCTGAACGTAAAAATAGACATCTTATTGAAACAACTCGCACTCTTTTAATTCATGGAGAGGTTCCTCAACATTTTTGGGGTGATGCTCTTCTTACTGCGTGTTATCTTGTTAATCGCATGCCATCTTCGGTTCTAGATAATAAAATACTTTATTCCATTTTATTCCCTCATGAACCACTTCATCCCTTACCTCTAAAAGTTTTCGGGTCTACATGTTTTGTTCATAATTTTAGTTCTAGTCTTGACAAACTTTCTCCTAGATCACATAAATATGTTTTCTTAGGGTTTACAAGATCACAAAAAGGATACAAATGTTTTTCTCCTTCTCTTAACCGTTATTTTGTGTCTGCAGATGTCACCTTTGATGAGTTCTCTTTTTATTTTAAAAGTCAATCTTCACCTCTGTCTCCATCTAATCTTGTCAACACTCCTAGTACATTTAATGTTCCCGTTGTTTGTGACCCTCTAACCGTGTCTTCTTCACCATTAGATTCTACTCCGCAATCGCCTTCTTCTTCACCGCCTCTTCGAGTTTATAGTTGTCGAAACCAATCACAACCACCACCATGTGACTCTACTCAAGTGCCAACTACTCGTCTCCTCCGGATGTGACACCCGAGTCCGACCTTCCCATTGCCCTCCGAAAAGGTATCCGTTCTACACGCAATCCCTCTCCTCATTATATTGGTTTGAGTTATTATCGATTGTCATTACCTTTTTATACATGTCTTTCCTCTCTTTCTTCTCGTGACCATTCCAAAACTCGTCCGTGAAGCTTTAGCCCATCCCGGTTGGCGTCAGGCCATGTTAGATGAACTAAGTGTTCTTCATAATAGTGGAACTTGGGAATTGGTCTCGCTATCGTCCTGGAAAATCCGTTGTTGGTTGCAGGTGGGTGTTTGCTATCAAAGTTGGACCCGATGGCACTATTGATCGCCTCAAAGCTCGTCTTGTGGCCAAAGGTTATACTCAAATTTTTGGGTTGGATTATGGAGATACCTTTTCCCTCGTGGCAAAGATGACTTCGTTCGTTTATTTATCGCCATGGCCGCTCTTCAACAATGGCCTCTTTATCAACTAGATGTTAAAAATGCTTTCCTCAATGGTGATTTGCAAGAAGAAATCTATATGGAGCAACCTCCTGGGTTTGTTGCTCAGGGGAGTCTTCTCGGGATGGTATGTCGTCTTCGCAAATCCCTATATGGCCTAAAACAGTCTCCTAGGGCCTGGTTTGGAAAGTTTAGCAAGGTTGTTCAACATTTTGGTATGACTCTGGTGTGAAGCAGATCACTCGTCTTTTATCGACACTCAAGTGCTGGATGTGTTTACTTAATAGTATATGTTGATGACATCGTTCTTACAGTGTAGTGACAACCATGACATCTCTCAGCTTGAAACAACATCTCTCGTCACCATTTTCGGACCAAAGATCTTGGCAAACTTAGATATTTCTTGGGTATTGAGGTGGCACAGTCCAATGATGGTATTGTTATATCTCGGAGGAAGTATGCCATGGATATTTTAGAGGAAACTGGGTTGATGAATTCAAAGTCTCGTTGATACGCCCATGGATCCCAATACTAAACTTTTACCAAATCAGGGGGAGCTTATACCCGATCCCGAGCAAGTATAGAAGATTGGTTGGAAAATTGAATTATCTTACAGCTTACTCGTCCCGACATTTCCTTTGCAGTCAGTGTGGTAAGCCAATTTCTTAATTCCCCATGTGAAGATCATTGGAATGCAGTCATTCGTATCTTAAAGTATATTAAAGGATCTCCTGGAAAAGGATTGTTATATGATTCTAATAACCATACAAGAGTTGTTTGTTACTCGGATGCCGATTAGGCAGGATCTCCTTCGGATAGAAGATCTACATCCTGGATATTGTGTCTCCATTGGTGGTAACTTGGTCTCATGGAAAAGTAAGAAACAAAGTGTTGTGGCAAGATCTAGTGTAGAAGCGAATATAGAGCTATGGCCTCACTCGCTTGTGAACTTGTTTGGCTCAAGCAATTGCTTAGAGAGTTACAATTTGGAGATGTCACTCAAATGTCACTTGTGTGTGACAATCAGCCGCTTCTTCATATTAGTTCTAATCCCGTCTTTCATGAAAGGACCAAACACATTGAGATTGACTCGTCATTTCATTCGAGAAAAGATTATGTCTAGAGACATCAAGATCGAGTTTGTTAACTCAAGTGATCAGTTAGCATATATTTTTACTAAATTTTTACTGGGTCCTAGAATTGATTATATTTGTAACAAGCTTGGCACATACGATTTGTATGCTCCAACTTGAGGGGGAGTGTTAGATATTGTTTAGATATTATTTAATATTGTTAAGATATTGTTAGATATTAACCATAATATCAAACAATAATATCTAACAATATCTTCTCGTTTATTCTGTTACTTTCAGTTACTCTTTTAGTTGTATCTCTCTACTATAAATAGACTATCCTATGTGTGATTTATACACAAGGGAGATTAATTCCAAACTCTATTTCTTCTATATTCAACAGATTCCACTTTCAAGAAATCACTGAAGTGCGTTAGAGTACTATGAGAATTTCATCCAATCTACCATCCGTTGCCTAAGTAAACCAGTTTTGTTAAATTCGGGTTCAAATGCTTATGGTAGACTAACTTTTTGTGTGTCAACCTTTAGTGTAAAACATTTTAATACTAAATATCAGTGCCAATAATGACAACTTGTTTGTGAAAAAACAGGGTTCATTAATACAAAGCAGTAGCCTCTGTTGATTGAATAGTACCAATGTTTGAATGGGAGGAGTTGAAACAGAACAAAAATTAGGAAAATTCTGTTTGGAAACCATATAAATGCTATGCAAAAATATTTCTAGGTTATAATAACTTCTTTTGTAAAACAAAAAGTCTTGGTAGCGCTGCCTTGGAGATGAGAAAAACATCATAAATATGTAAATTCTAGAAACTGTTTGCTTGATTTACATCAAGCTGCTTAGAAGATTCAATGACAATAAGTCAATTTAGCATCTTACTAGAAGTATAGACAAGGTGGTGAAGTTTGTTGCTGAGTTTACCAGTGAGAGGTAGTAGAAGGTGTCAGTTACAATACGAATTGTAATGACTTTAGAACCATAAGTTACAGTATTGTTAGTGAAACTTGCTAGTGGAGCTATTGATTGCGATATTAATCTGTATGAGAACCTTTTGCCGGTAGGCTGATTCAATTGTTGGGTCAAAGAGAGGAATAGTTGATTTTAACATTCTATGCATGGTTGATACTGTCCATACAAGGTCACATTCGTATCAACTATGTTTATAGCTACAGAGATCATAAAACTTTATGAAATTATTAAATTTGTGATTATTAACTTATCTATATTTGATACTGTAATTGCAGATATGCACCTTTTAGTACTTTCATCAAATAGAAGCTTTTCTACAAATACATCCAAACAGAACTTATCATTTACGTACTCATGCAAGTGTGCATCCAAGCCCAAATTAACTTGTTGAGAAGAAGCTTTTGACATCAATGCTTTTTTGATAAGCACTTTTACTTCATTGAAACAATTCATTCGAAACAGGTCCAAAGTAATTTTAGTGTTGCTTGCTGCTTCTGCTCTGCACAAGCTTAATTTAGGAGCACTAACCAACTAAATATGTTGCTTTCAGTATTTATAATAACTGCGGTTACACTCAAATACCTTGCAGAACTCATTTTTCAAAAACTTTCATTTAGGTTAATTTTGTCATGGGAAACAAATTTGTCAGGGGAGATAAACGGGGAAAGCAAGAAAATGATGACATAATATTCCTCAAGATTGTTCCTCCTGTGGACCAGACATATGTTAAATGGCTTGCCAGAGACCTTGCAAGAATTCACAGCTTTACTCCCAAACGTCCTCGCCCAGTGCAGCCGCCAGATCATTATGTAGAATATATGAAGTTGAACGGATGGTTGGATGTGGATTTAGATGATCCTGATCTTGCTCATTTGTTCAAGTAGGCAATTTCTGTTTGCTATAAAGACAATTAGCGTGACTTTGTAGCGGCGTCATGTGAACATGAGAAATGGTAGCCACGTTGTTACTATTGTTCGGCCAAGAAATTCCTGTAGATGGTACCATTCTGAAACCCTAGTGTTGATCACCCTCACCAATGCGCGCAGAAACATGCTCTATGTTATACAATAGAATTTTTTTTGTTCAATCATGTTCTATTGTTCTTAACATCATGCGTGGTGGCAATGCGATTTGTCACAATAGGAAGTTTATCTACGTTGTTAATAATAATGTAATGTTGTGAACTGTCTCTACTGTGATTGAGTTCTTTGCTAAGCAGGTCGAATGAATGTAGAATTTGTGGCACTAGGAAATAACTGTGAATCTCGCCATTGAATTGCAAGACAGGGATTGGTGTACAATTTCTTAGGAACTACCGAACTTCTATGTGAGATTATGAGATATCACAGTCAAATAACGTAGTTAAGACCAAAATAAACTAAAAAACCACATATAATTATACATACGAATTAGGGGTGTGGGTGAATTGGTTTAATTAAGTTTTTAATTCAGTATTAATTTAATATAAATTATAAATAAATTAAATTAATATTTTGTGTTTTGGTTTGAATTTTACTATTTATATTATTTTAAAATTGATCTATATTTTCTAAAAAATGCAAAATATTTTTACAAAATAATAGTTAAACATTTTTATAATGAAAAGATGTTACACATTTTATAATAAAAAATTGTAAAAATAATGTATTTTTTAAATAATTATTATTATATTTGTAGTTTTATTTTTCTTCTATAATTATATAAATTATATAATCTTATGATTAAAAAACATAATACAAATTTGTTATCGTATATATTTTGTAAGTAAAGAATAATAGAATTGTAAAATAATTAAAAAAATTATATGTTTAGTTGTTAATTAGTTCTAAAAATATAATAAATAATTCAATTCAATTATCTTTAATTTAAAATATAAACTAAATTGTTCTATTTTAATTGACTTTTTGTTATTTTTTTAAGTCTAATTCAATTTTGAATATAAGTAGCATTAATAAAGGTAAAAATATGTACTCATCATGTGATTGGGTAGGCCATATAAATCCCCTTCATAAGGAACAGAGATAAGATGGGAGATAATTGATCCATGGTGGTTTACTGTCTATGCAACTACTCACTCAATGCTTCATTAAATGATGTGCAATTCAAACAATGTTTCATTAAAATGGCCAGAGATTTGTTATATACACAAATAATATATTGTGCATGTAATCAAGTCATTGTCTAATGTGTTTGCTATATCATTTTTATTAAATAGTTTTATAATATATATATATATATATATATTCTCATTAATTAAATTATAATTTAGAATCTCCTTTGTAATTTTTATTTAGATAGGAGTGAGGTGCAATCACATACTGTAAATTTACTTAATAGAGATGAAAAAAAAACTTAAATATTTAAATTTAATTTAATTATCTAGATATAAACCAATTTGTTTTAATGTTTTTAAAATCCACATTTTTTAGATTTTAAATTCAATTCAATTAACTAAATTATTGGATTTTTTTAAATCAATTTTTGTCTTAAAAGATTGTTTCGATTTGTCCCAATCCAACAAACTATTTAAAAAAGTATTTCAATTGGACCTTGTACATATTTATGAACATATTGTATTTTTAAGTCTAATTAAATTTTATATTGAGTTAATGACTTCAGGAAATATTTTAGTCTGTTTTAAATGGTGTAAATAAATAATAAATTAAAAATATATACATTTTAAAATTTAATGATTAAATAAATTTTTGTCTTATTATATTTTTAAACTTTATTAATGTCAAATTAGTTCAATTTTTTTAAAAGGAAACCAAAATAATTTATTTAAATTGTCTAATTGAAAACAATGTACACGTGACATTAACATATTACTAGTAATTCTGTTTGTATAATAATATATTAATAATTATATGTTTGACTTGTTCATATATACTTTATCATCACATCAATTTCATATTAATTTCATGTCAGAAAACACAACTACCTCAATGTCATGTCATGTTATTTTATTTTTTTCTTTTTCTAGGTAACTTAAGAATTGATAGAACGACTCACGCTTAATAGAATATAACAGGATGAAATTGAAAACATACAAAATTATTTACTTATTATACTAATAAACTAAATTTTATTTTTATATATAATAATTTGATATATAAATTATTATCTATATAAATAAAATATTTTTTTAAATAATTATTATATTATAAAACAGAAATACTTATTATCCTAATTATGTATTCTTTGAATAATTATTTCATTTTTATGCTATTAGAATTATGAAATTTTAGTTATTCTCATCATTATATATTTAATTATATTTTTTTATTATTTAAAAAATAATTTCCTCAAATACAGTATATATAATTTTTTTAACTTTTATAATTATAATATTTTATAAATTAATTAAAACTTAATAAATAATTTATTATCGATGAAATATACATGAACTTTTTTATAGGATCTATTTAGGATTTTAAAGAGAAATATTATATTAAAGACATTATATTTTTAGAAAGATTTTTAAATTTAAAAGAAAAAAGTTCAAAATTTTAATAAACATCCTTCAACTAATGGGTTATACAAAATTAATGAACTATATGATATGTTTTTTTTAAGTTAAAATAGTGTATAGAATAATAAAAAATAGTTCTTTAAATATTTTAAGATTTTTATGTAATTAATTCCCATATGAAAAAGACTAAAATGTCTTCTACTCCAGACCACAAGATCAATAAGATATTTTCTTTCAAAAAGACGTTGAAAACTAAAATTCAAATATGTTTATTAGAATTTTTTTTATTTGAGAAAACATATTTTTATTATTTTATAATTTAACAATTATTTGGTAAATAATGATTTATTAGGAAATTATTTAGCATTTTTAAAATAAATATGAAAAGATAAGTATAAGTTTTAAACATTAAATATTTTATATTTAAAATTGAATACTAAATATTTAATATTAAATACTTATTAAATACTTAACATTAAATATTAAGTAGAAATTATTAAATACTTAACATTAAATAAATATTATTAAATACTAATAATTTATTTTTTAAAAAGATTACATATTATGTTCTAATTATGAAATGCTAAATATTAAAAGAAAATATATTAAATGTTACGTACTAAATAAATAGTAAATATTAAACGCTGAATAATTAATGTTTATTACTATATACTAAATTTTTATTTCTAAATATTAAATAGTAAATGCCATATATTTAATATTAAATATGTAAAATTGTGTTAAAAATATGATTATTTTATTCAAATATTATATTTATGAAATAAAAAATATTAAAAATTGTGATGATAATTTAGTTATTTTATATTTTATTTTATTTGTATAAGTGTATAAATTATACAGCTTAGAAATATATATATATATATATATATATATATATATATATATATATATATATATATATAAAGTAGTAGTTGAATTATCGAAATGTTATAAAGTTTGTATGAAACTTTTTTATTTTATAACCAATACCCTTCAAATAAAAGAGTTAAAGATGTATAAATAATAATTAGTTTGATGTAATTAAAGAAATAAACATATTTAATTAAATAAAAATTATTGAATAAATAAAGTTATCATCCTAACATGTAAACTCTTGATACATATACAAGCATATATTTTGGACAACAAAGGTGCAATTAATATATATAATTATTTTTGTATATAAATCAATATTTATACTACTTTCTGAAAATTTAATTAAAATTGTTTAACCTTTAAAATGTCAGGACTAAATTGATTATTTACAACAAGAAATGCATCATTAAAATAAATGTTTGACTTAGACAAAAAAAAACCCTAAATTTTTAACTTGTCTCTTGTTATAATTCTACAAATTTTCACATTTTTCAACTATACTCACAGGAAGAGAACGAAAGTATTTTTAAAAATAATAAATAGATTCTACTATTCACCCATTTTGTTTTATAGCTAGTGTTTCTTTGTATGAAATATAAATAACAATTATTTTTAAACAAAAAAAAGAAACATTATTTAAAAAGTTTTATTATAATTTATTCTTTTTATTTTACACGATTTTAATTTCTTAATTTTAATTATGCACAACTTTGGTCAATTTGTAGTTTTAAACACATTAAACATTATACCTAACATTTGACTAATTAAGTGTGCTCGAACTTATAACTTGAAAATCAATTTAACAGATATTTTATTTATTAAAATGCGAAAAATAAAAGAAACTAATAAGTAATATATTTAAAAATATGTATTATTAGTTTGATTTTATTAGTTACATCTTAATAAATAGTTTGTTCCATTTAAAAATATGTGTTCCACTAAGCACAGTTAAATAGTTTTATTTTTATAGTTCAATAAATTAATACATGGATTAATTTAATTTGTAAGGTATTACACAAAACACATATAAATAATTAATAAGAGTGATAGATTGAGCATTAAACATTTGAAGAGAAAAAAGCATAAATATATAAAGATTGTTAGAGAAAGTGAGAGATTTGAAAAAGAAAGGAGAAGCAGTGGAAATGAAATTAGGTTTGGTTTGGTTAGGTGGAGATGAGAGGAGATCCGTGTTTGGAAAGAGAAGTTGTTGAGATCAGACGCAGGTGCGATGGATTGATATGAGCCAATGCAATGACTCGGATCCTACGCACTCTCTCCACCTCGACAACGACAATCTCACTTCACTGGATAAAGACTTCAAAATTCTCGGAAGCCACGTAATGTCAACATAGGCAACCTCACACTTTTTTATTTTTGGTTACTAATTAATGGAAACCGCGTGACTTTACTGCAAATTGTACGTGATGGCGACCTATATCATAAATTGCCTTCCTGCGTATATATATATTATCTATATAAGTTCTGCACCTCTCGTTCTTTTTCACGTCTTATCTTTTGTTTCGTTATACACACAATTTCTGAATTTTCTCATATCTCTCTGTACCAATCCCGTTAGATCAGTATGGCTTCAAACGACGGTAATGATGATTCACCATTTTCTTTTTCTCTTGTTCAACTTTTTTGCTTTCTTCTTTGCACCCACTGAATTCATATCTGGGTCCGATAACAGGTGCAGTTATCGTGGTCATGGGTGTCAGCGGCGCTGGAAAAACGTAAGTTTTTTTTTTTCTCTAATGTTAACATAAACTCTTCGTTTTATATTGTTGTCATGGTAGTTATTGTTTTCATTTTTTTTATTACAATAATATTTTTTGTTTTCAATCAGTTTATCGTTATCAAATATGTGCCCTAAAATCACTCAAACCATTTTTTATTTTTTTTATAAATACTTTAGAATAAAAAATAAATGGTTGAATATAGCTGTTGCAAGTGATTGTTTTTAACCATTAACACGCTGATTGGTTAATTACAGCACAATAGGTCGGAGGCTGGAAAAAGAGATGCAATATAAGTATCTTGATGCCGATGATTTCCACACTGAATTAAACAAAGGTGTGTTTATGGTTATGCATATTAAGCAAGTTAATTGACCATGAATAATGGACTGTTTCTACCTGTTTTGTTCATTCTGTTCCTCATCTTACTTTGGTTTCATCTATTTCTTCGAATAAAACAGAAAAGATGCGCATGGGAATCCCTCTCACAGATGAAGACAGGATGCCATGGCTTGAAACACTACGCGATGTCATAAACGAATACTTGAATAACAAAAAGGGTCTCATTCTTGGTTGTTCTGCTTTGAAGCGTCAATATAGAGAAATGCTTAGATCAGGTTACCCTGCATATAAATGGGGGACTTATGCAAGTCCTGTTAACTTCATTCTGTTGGATGCTCCTGCTGAAGTCCTGAGTGTTCGAGTTAATGCTAGAGCTACAGAAGGAAAACATTTTATGCCTGCATCACTTCTTCAATCTCAGTTAGATTTGCTTCAGATCGATGATCGCGAGGGAATACGTAAAGTTGATGCTACTTTGATACCCCAAGCCATTGTCAACACCATTCTAAACATGCTCCAGTTTCAGGGCTGTTTCCATCATGATTGTCTTGAGCTTCATTAATAAGAATGACTCACTAATTTAATAGTTTCAGACATAGTCTTTAAAATAAAGGACAAATATGATTTGCCTCAAAAAAGGGAAACCAGCGAATGGTTTAGAGCAGCATAATCTATAGAGAAAAAAATAAAAAGCTAAGGCTGAGCTGTACATGTGATATTCTTTGGGAATTGATTTAGAATATATGAAAATTCCCTGCTTAAACGACTGATTTTTTTTTTTTCTTATAATCACTTAATTAAACTTCAAGAGGGCGATTGAACCATCATCTAAAACACTAAATATTTGAATCACAATTTCGTTTCATTGATTTGATTTTTTTTCTTTGTAAGGATAAGTTGGATAATGATCGGCCGAACACCAAGTATATGTGTGGTTGACATCTGATCGAAAAAAAACTCTTAATTCTGCTGCCATATTGCCTGAGAATTTGATATAAGAGAAAGAGTCCAACATACTACGGGCATGAAACTGACTAAATTTGTACCACCGTATTCCAGTATTTTAGTTTAGCATGGTTTTAATAACTCATTAAAAAATCTATTTGAACATGATCTATCAACCAAATTAGGGTCCAAATAGTTTGATGTGCTTTGATACTTAATTTGTTTTTGTAACATTCATACATAAACTTCGAAGTATATATATATACATATATCTTGACCCTACAATTGACCCTCAATTTGCACAATTCTACCTATTTTTCTCTGTTGTTTTTCGATGAAAAAGAAATCAAGTTGCAGCCTGCTTGCATCACAACATAAAATTGATGGCAACTACAATTAAATAATACACCAAAACTAGCCTTTTGCCCCTATAGGTGAAATTAGCTACATAGACCACGCAGCACCATTGAATGCCGTTGGATACCAAATTCTCAAAAGTATGATTAATTATGAAATCCTTTTTAATACTGATCAATTTCATAACCTAAAAACCACGAAATCTTGTCAACACTGTCTTCGCGGATTGTCATTTTTTTCTCAGTAGATTGAAGACTAATATCTCCTGCTATACAATCCTTTGAGAGTCGTATAGCCAAAATTGTATTTTCAGCAAACAATGCATAAACATCATAACAGAAAAAAATCAATAAAATAATTGAGCAAGTCAAAATAACACCATCTCCAATCTAACAGGAATTGTAAACCACAACTGAACAGTTAGATTTAAGACATGTTCCTAGAGGAGCATAAATTGAGCTTGGCGTTTCATGTGGCTCCTCGGCAGCACTAGTCCTCTCTTTTAGGGGAGAGGAGGTGTGAAGAACATACTTTTCCTTTTTATCACCGCAGCACAGCCTTATTTTTTTGCCTTGGCAAATCTCAGGCAACGGTATTTTTCACCACTTACGGTAATTTCAAGAGCTCCATCTTGATTATCTTGATTTGACGCAGTTCCCATCAAAACACTTTTCTCTTTCTCCAGATTGTCTCTCTCCATCTTCAGCCTTGCTTCTTGACGGGCAATCTCAGCCTAGAACATTAAAAAATTGAGAGCAAAGAGGGTGTTTGATTTTTTGTTCTTTAATAGCAGGGTTATAAATGGAAATTTTATACAATGGATATTTCTTTGGTAAACGGAAATAATGTTAGAATGCTCAGTCAATTTCAATCTTTTTTTTTTTTTTCTTTTTTCATATTCCCAAATGCAATAATATTTATGCTTCACGAATATATGGCACACATCTCCACAAACATAAATTCGGTCCCAGGAACGTGTGCAAAGCATGTTATCAGTCATTGAGAAAAACATGAAAATAGGGCCATAATTTCAAGTTCTAGAAGCTAATTAAGTCACCGCTTAATCCTTATCTGTATTTTTTACATTATATATTTATTCTGCTTCTTGCAACCATGAAGCAAAAGTTTTAGTTATATTTGTTCTCTACAACTTCAAATTTCAAGGAATTTTGTTCATATCCTGTCACTATCACGGATTTTGCATCAAAATACAAGAGGGGTCACGGTAGTAGAAAATTTAGGAAAGGATACAAAATACTCAGATAAACAATCTAAGAGCGAATTGTTTAAAAAATTGTACATAGTTACTGAAAAGGGAAAAAATTGTGCGGGCTCAGTTACTCTCCACCCTATATAAGAAGTTCTGCATGTGAAAACAGACAGATATAAAATTTAGGGAACAAATTCAATAAAATTATAAAACATTAACTAAACAGAAGTTCAAGAATCTACAGAAAATATAACACAGTTAACATTCCCTTTTTTTTTTGTTTATTTTCAGACAAATCGAGAACTGCTTAGTAATTCAATCCATATTCATGCACAGCCATTGCATGCTCAGTAGGAGTGTAGAACACAGTTAACATTCCCATTTCTTTTTGTTTAATTTTAGACGGAAAACTACCTTTAAGCCATAATTCATGCACAGCCATTTCACATGCTCAGCAGATACAAGGAATGTAATCATAGTTTTACCTATAAAACTAAAATAGGAACAACAGTATTCTCATTTCATCTGATCAACTATAACAAGTATTTTTCAACCATTAGCATTTTTGTATTGATTATAGCGAAATGTACTACTAGAGTATTACAACAATAGTAAAAAAATAATTTGGGCTCGACTTTCTCAGTAATCTGCATAACAAAGACAATTATATGTAAAATTATCAGAGGCAAGGGTATGGGGAGTGTCCCATCCCAGTGATGGAACCTTAACATGGTATCAGAGCCAAAGCCTAACATCTTTCCGGTTATTGTCATGGGCCAGAAGTTGCCCTTTAGTTGGGTCAAAAGTACCCTTTGCCTGGTTCGGCAGGCTTCGTTGGAGAGGGTGTGTTGAAAGTCCCACATCGCCTACCTCATATCATTTGATATAATTTAAATACATGTTAGGCTACTCCACATATTGCCAATTGGTTTTATGTTGGAACCTTAACATGGTATCAGAGCCAAAGCCTAACATCTTTCCGGTTATTGTCAAGGGCCAAAAGTTGCCCTTTAGTTGGGTCAAAAGTACCCTTTGCCTGGTCCGGCAGGCTTCGTTGGAGGGGGTGTGTTGAAAGTCCCACATCGCCTACCTCATATCATTTGGTATGGTTTAAATACATGTTAGACTACTCCACATATTGCCAATTGGTTTTATGTTGGAACCTTAACATGGTATCAGAGCCAAAGCCTAACATCTTTCCGGTTATTGTCATGGGCCAAAAGTTGCCCTTTAGTTGGGTCAAAAGTACCCTTTGTCTGGTCCAGCGGGCTTCGTTGGAGGGGGTGTGTTGAAAGTCCCACATCGCCTACCTCATATCATTTGGTATGGTTTAAATACATGTTAGGCTACTCCACATATTGCCAATTGGTTTTATGTTGGAACCTTAACAATAGCGAAATGTACTACTAGAGTATTACAACAATAGTAAAAAAATAATTTGGGCTCGACTTTCTCAGTAATCTGCATAACAAAGACAATTATATGTAAAATTATCAGAGGCAAGGGTATGGGGAGTGTCCCATCCCAGTGATAGAACACAGGTGGTCATGCTGTAGGACACATATCATGGGTTCAAACCCTGTATGAGTACATCCCCTTCCCATGCCCTTATGGAATTCCTCCAACGCCCATCTCAGTGGTCAGTCCTCACTTGAACCAAAAATAAAAGCTAAGGGGAGAAAATCTAATAGCTAACCATTATGTATAAATGATAATTAATTCCACTCCAACTGGAATTAGCTGAGATAGAGTCAAAGATCATATCTTTCATTTTCAGTTCATCACAAACGCAACTAATTACATTTCATTACCATTAATTAAAGATTAAAATTTCCTATACAATAAATGACATAAAACCATAGTCATCATGTGGAGAGCATTGCAGCTATGTTACTCCATAAACTTGAACTATTTAAGCCATAGTGACAAATATAAGTTGTTACATAGTGAGATATCAGGGCTTTTGCAATATGTTGATTATCTTCCTCTGCCAACCTAAATAGGAAAGGAAATGCAGAGTGCACATTACGAACATGGTTGTCAAACGTTTAAGTTATTTCTCAAACTCTTACGATTCTAGGTGGACAAGATTTTAGGCAGACAAAACGAGTTTACTCTTCATCAGTACGCTTTCTAGGTAAACTCATATAAGCTTTCGAAAACTCTGAAATCAAGAAGTGAGTTTGAAATCATGTGTAATTTTTGCTCTTATTTATGCCATGAAATGTTTTACTGCAACTCAGATTACTTGAAGAAACTATCTCCTTTTTAAAATGTTTTCACTTTAATAAGTTGTGTTTTTATTATTTATATATGATCTGGTCATTTATGTGGTTCAATCTTATTTAGTACTAATGTATATTACTCTTAATTATTGTGATTTGCTATTTTGCCTTACTATAACGTTTATTGACGTGTTAAAGAGTATTTTGTCAATACGTTTTTTAAATATTATCTTTTAGAATTACATAATGTTGAGATTAGAGAAGCTCCATGATTTACATAGAGTGTGTTTGGATTAACGTTGCATTTAGGTGACTCACGTTCCAAAACTTCTTTTACTGAGAAGTAAAAATTGTATATCTAAAATGAAGGTGGGTTTGAGACCTTTAAACGGAAAAATAAACCATGCACGTAGAGTCTCAAATTCGACAACCTTTATTACAACAACAATAGTCGTATCTAAAAAGGCGAACACACATTTAAGTAAGAAAAACCTAAAAAGATTAAAAATTTGAGAGAAATGGGTACTCAGTAAATACCTCACGACGAGAAAGATCAGCCTTCCAAGCAGCTTCACGTTCAGCAACCTCACGTTCACGCTCTTCAATGTAACTTTGCATCTCTCTATCCTTCATGATCCTATCCTGAATATCAGCATCCAACGCTTCCTGCAACTCTTGGACAAACTTATCTACCACTGCCTTTATTCGGAGAGACATCTTGTGCTAAAACCCCGACCTGAGACCACACACATTCAAAATAATCATACTATATCTAATTACTTATTTTCAACACATGGAATTCACTTACACAATAGTTTAGCTCATTTCTCAGTTTTTTTTAGCTTCGGGAGAAAGCGCTAAAACCCAAATAACAATCATTTCCTTAAAGTTAATCCAAACTAAACTTTTTTTCCATTTCAAAGTTTTGCATAGAATTGTCATTCCTCTGAAATTCAAATTTAGGCTTTGGAATGAAGGCTCCGAATGAAAACGCAATTTCATATAATTAAGAAAGTGAAAATTCAAAGAGTCAAGAACAATCAACAGAAATATAAAAGACACACGTCATGCATCTCTCAAAGTTCTATAATGTTCTTTAAAAAGAAATACCCTACCAACTTTTTCTCAAAAGAATATTTTTAGAAAAAAAAAAAAAAAAAAAACACAAACCGAAAACAATGATGTATTAAAAAAAATAAAATCTCTTGTTCTTTTTTCTTATTCCCTTGAACCCTGTTGTTATGTTTGAATGCGTAAATCGCAACAGTAAAAAAAAAAAAAACTTCCTCTATAATTTGTAGTTTCTGAAATTCAGTTCGGATCAAATTAAGCCCTTCAAGAACTGATTACAAAAGTATATGTATAATCGAAACGGAACCCATAATCACTTGGCTACAGTAACAGGCGTGAGAATTTAGAAGGCCCACCTCAACGACGTCGTATTTGGAGATTATGCTCCTTGGGTTTCGTTTTCTGCTACAACTGCGAATCCATCACAATTCAATTCAGCACTCTGAGACGAAGCCACACGCGAAAGGAGAACGAACGCGTGAACCAAGTTGAAAACACATTTTGGGTCTTAAACTCCCATTTGAATAGGAGGAGTTTTATTGGGCCCAGTTATGCCCCACTTTGGTTCTTTTATTTCGGCCCATACATTATTTTTCTTTTGTTTTCTCCATTATTGTTTTGACTAATAACGCATTGATGATATTTAAAAATAGAGGCGAGGCTATCGGAGACTTGTTTGTGTATTCTCTTTGTGTATGTGTTAGTAATATAAATTTGAAAAGATTTAAATTTATATTATCGCTTTAGGCTTAATTATTTTCTTAATCTCTAAAATTTAAAATAATTTTAGTTTTCACTCTTTAAATTTAATAAGTTTTATTTCATCCCTCAATTTAAAAAAAAAGATATAATTGTATTTTTTAATCTCTAAAATTGAGAATTAAAATCATTTTAAATTTTAAATCTTAAAGCTTAAAAACTAAATTTTATATTTTAAATTCTAATTTGAACTTTAAATAATATAATTTTTAGTTTAATATTTTAAATTTAGTTTTTAAGAACAAAAATTATATTGTTTCCGTACTCAAGTTGTAATTTTCTGGTGCTTGGGTAGTTTTAGTTTTTTCCGCACGTGGGCATGTGAATTTCAATATCGGAACGCAACGTTTTGGTTAATTTAGACCTCTTTCCCTGATCCCTCGTCTGTGTCTGGTTAAAATCCGTTTTAGACATCAAAATCTTATGTATTTCAAAACGACGCTATCATCTTTCGAGATGCTCATGAATGAAGGGGTTGCACTTCCTCACTTTGCTTGGCCTCAAAGCAACCCACTGCCAAGCCATCAAGTTCGGCTCCATCGCAGACCTTTACATTACCAACAATCTCATAACTTCGTACGCAAAATGCACAGAATTGGCGTCGGCTTACCAACTGTTCGACGGAATGTCTCACAGAGACACCGTGACTTGGAACTCCATAATTGCTGCTTATGCAAACTTCGGTGACCTGCGCACTACATGGCAAATCGTCAGTGCCATGGGAAGGTCTGCACTTGCATTTGACAGCCGCACATTGGGAAGCATTCTCAAGGTTGTTGCCCGAGCTGGCGAGCTCCATCACGGTCAGCAGCTGCATTCTGTCATGCTCAAGATGGGGTTATCAGAAAACATGTTTTCCGGTAGTGCCCTCTTGGACATGTATGCCAAGTGCGGGAGAGTTGACGATGCGTACATTGTGTTCCAGAGCATGCCAGAGCGCAATTACGTGTCATGGAACACACTTGTTGCTGGTTATTCACGAGTTGGTGATCGTGACATGGCGTTCCGAATGCTAAGTTGTATGGAGCTTGAGGGTGTAGAAATTGATGATGGCACAGTGTCTCCACTCTTGACATTGCTTGATGATGCTGAGTTTTGTTGGTTGACAATGCAGTTGCATTGTAAAATTGTGAAACATGGGCTGGAATTGTTTAACACTGTCTGCAATGCTTCTATCACAGCCTATTCTGAGTGCAGTTCTTTGCAAGACGCTGAGAGAGTATTTGATGGTGCTGTCGCCTGTCGTGATGTGGTTACATGGAATTCCATGCTCAGTGCTTACTTGATGCACGAGAAAGAAGATCTTGCATTTAAAGTTTTCATTGATATGCAGAATTTTGGGTTTGAGCCTGATGCTTATACTTACACCGGGAGTGTCAGTGCTTGTTCTGTACAAGAGCGTAAAAGCCATGGAAAATGTTTGCATGGGTTGGTGATAAAAAGGGGTCTTGAAGATTCTGTTCATATTTCCAATGCTTTGATTGCCATGTACATCAGATTTAATGACAAGGGCATGGAAGATGCATTAAGAATATTCTTTTCAATGAATCTCAAAGATTGTTGCACTTGGAACTCCATTTTGGCAGGGTATGTACAAGTTGGTTTGAGCGAAGATGCCTTGAGGTTATTTTTACAGATGCGGTCTCTGATCATAGAAATTGACCACTATACCTTTTCGGCTGTCATAAGATCATGCTCGGATTTAGCAACTCTACAGTTAGGTCAACAGGTTCATGTCTTATCACTTAAAGTAGGATTTGATACCAATAATTATGTTGGGAGTTCGTTGATATTCATGTATTCTAAATGTGGAATCATAGAAGATGCTAGGAAATCTTTTGAAGCAACTTCCAAAGACTATGCAATTGTTTGGAACTCCATCATCTTTGGGTATGCACAACATGGACAAGGAAACATTGCACTTGACCTCTTTTACTTAATGAATGAGAGAAAGGTGAAACCTGATCATATAACCTTTGTTGCAGTTCTAACTGCGTGCAGTCATAATGGGCTAGTAGAAGAAGGCTACAACTTTTTAGAGTCCATGGAGTCTGATTTTGGTATTCCACAACGTAAGGAGCACTATGCTTGTGCAATTGATCTCTATGGTCGGGCAGGGCATCTTGAGAAGGCAAAAGCTTTGGTTGAAACAATGTCTTTTGAACCTGATGCAATGGTGTTGAAAACTTTATTGGGTGCCTGTAGATTCTGTGGTGATATTGAATTAGCTAGTCAAGTAGCAAAAACGTTGATAGAGCTGGAGCCTGAGGATCACTGCTCGTATGTTATACTCTCTGAAATGTATGGGCGATTGAAAATGTGGGATGAGAAGGCTAGTGTAACAAGGATGATGCGAGAAAGGGGAGTGAAAAAGGTTCCTGGTTGGAGTTGGATAGAAGTGAAAAATAAAGTGCATGCTTTCAATGCTGAAGATCATTCCCATCCCGAATGTGAGGAGATATACAGACAACTTCAACAACTAAATCAAGGAATTAAGTTGTTCGATAAATTTGTCAATCAAATGTTGTTACTGCAATGTTTAGATAATCTAGATGATTATGATGATAAAATGTTCTTCTGATTGCTGGATTTGGTTGGAAGCTGGTGTGCAGTGTTTTTCATAAAATACTGATATGAACTTTATGACGAAGGGAGAGACATCAAATAGGTGCACGTGTTTTTGGAGGAAAGATTGTTCTCATCATAAAATTTATTCTTGGGGCTGCGTGTTGTATACTTGCAGTGAGATCCACCGAAATACATGAATTGGGTCTAGAAGCAATTAGTACATATAAGAAGACAAGTGTCATATATGACTAGACTCAGCTACTTCATCAGTCAAATCGCACCAACTGGAAAGTATCTGTTCTTATTCATGGAGGCTTAAGCCATTGCAGAGTTTTGAATGGTGTTATTTATTTGGTTTCAATTGTTTCTATAGCTGGTATCTACCAATCATTTGAAACCATAACTACTACTGCAATGCCTAAAGCACAACACACTCTCTGAAGTGGAAGAGGAATGTACTGGTATACAGGGAAGTTCTTTGGGACAGGACTGAACCTGGATGTAAGCAAATAGGATGGCGAAAATATATTAAAATTTATACAAAATGTTTATGATTTTTAATATAATAAAAATTATTTATGTCTTTTAAAAATAATAAAAACCATACAATAGATAATATATTTTCATAAAAGATATTAAATAGTTTTTAAAGTTCCAAAATCATAAATAAAAAACACCAATTATACATACAAATAAAAATCTTCATGAATTTATTATAAAAAATTGGTATTTTTGTTAAATATATTTGTTTCAAAACATCTTAATATTTATAATACAAAAATAAATTATATTTGATTAAATTATATTAATCATTAAATTATCTTTTGAGATAATAGTAGCCAACAATGATTAAAAAATAATTTATATATATATATATATTCAACTCAATCCAACTTATCAATAATAAGTTGGGTTAAATTAGATCAAATAAAAAATATAAAAATTCAATCTCATCTAGATTGAGTCATTCGATGAGTTTGATGAAATGCGACCCCATTGTAATAAGTAAGTTTTCTACTCAATCAAATATGTAGTGTGATTTTATTAACCCCTATTCGGATTTTGTGTTAAAATGAAGCATTTTTTTTTAATTTACTAAAATTGAATAAAATTTTTAAAAATTATAAATTTAGATAAGTCGTGTTAAGAAACATCGACCTTAAGAAATCGTATTCGTAACACCACCTTTCATAATACCATTTTTTTTAATTTAAGAAGTCGTAATAGGATTTTTATATAAAAATTCTATGTGTTACGATTTTTATTATATTATAATAATAATAATTATTATACTATTATAACTAATAATAATATTTTTATATTATTATTATAATTAATGCTATAATTATAATTATTAATATTATTATTGTACTATTATTATATTAATAATATATATATTTTTTAATTATTATAATTTATTTTATTTTAATTATAATAATAATTTTTAAATTATATAATACAAATTTGTTATTATTATTTATAATAATATAATAATTATTAAAAATAGTATTAATTATTATTAATTAATAATAACATAATAATATTATTATCTTACTATTAATAATAGAATAATATTTATATTATTATTAATTATACTAATAAATATAAACATATTTATTATTATTTATTTTATTATTAATTATAATTAAAATAATATGAATAAAATAAATTGGTATGCGGTTGAAAGTCAATTTTGTGCTTTTAGAAATTAGTTTAGGTTATCAGAGTTTTGATTTATTCCGTTAAATTTTTACATGAATTTTGATTTAGTCTCTTATTTTGTATTTTTTTATTTTTATGCGTTTATATAGAGGAGCTTAATATTCGATATACAATGTGATTGGGATATCTTTTATATTAAGCGGTCTGATAAACATAGAATATACGATTACAAATACCGTATCATGCCATGATTCTACATGATTAATTTTTTCCATATTTAGCTTGGCATGACAGCGATGCACAGTGATGCACATTAATGTCATATATGTTAATAGACAAATTTAGGATACCGACTATAATGGTTAGCGTAATTATAGCTTAGAATGTTTCTGTATTAATGCATTTTGACCGCAGGATACTTGATCAATCGTACACCCTCAACCGTTCTCCATGGAAAAACTCCATATGAAATATTGAATGGGAAGCCACCCACTTATGACCATCTACGGGTATTTGGATGCTTGTGTTATGCACATAACCAAGATAGGAAAGGTGACAAATTTGCAAGTAGAAGTCGCAAGAATGTATTTGTTGGATATTCAATCGAAAAAAAGGGCTGGAAATTGTTTGATCTGGAAAGAGAAGTCTTCCGGACTTCGAGGGATGTTAAGTTTGTAGAACATGAATTCCAGTTTGCCTCTCTTGCCCACGGTAGACATTCGGAGGTAGGATTGCCTACTCGTTGATGTTGGCATTGTCGAGGAAGCATTGCCTGGACTTGGTGTAATGAACAATGCGGAACACGTTGTGGAGACCGATGACGTTAACCCCACAACGAAGATGTGCCCACAGCCGAGTTCGGGGAGGGCCACGCGCGAATGCCATGAACAAGAGCCTCCCACCCGGATCGATCTCCCACCGGAACAAGCCGACTCTATGATGACGAGAACTAGAGGTTCCCGAGGAGCATACTTGTCCCTGCATCCACGGGGAAAGGTCTTCGTGTACGAAAGCCATCCGTGAAGCTTCGTGATTATGTCACTAACACCACTTTACAACTCGGTCCCTCAATTCGCACTCCACATTCGGCTTCCTCGGGTATGCCTTACGGTTTGACAAAGTACTTAAATTGTGCTAAATTCTCCTTCCCCCACCGAACCTTTCTTGCGACCCTTCATGCGGAGAGAGAACTCGTGCATTTCTTTGAAGCTCGTTCGGGATGTTAGATGGAGAGATGCCATGGCTAGTGAAATTCGGGCCCTCCAAAGTAATGAAACATGGGACATTACTCCTCTACCGCGAGGAAGAAGCCTCCGGGTTGCAAGTGGATTTATAAAATCAAATATCATTCGATGGGAGCGTTGAACGCTTCAAAGCCCGATTAGTTGTCTTGGGAAATCACCAAGTTGAGGGGATTGACTATGACGAGACTTTTGCCCCAGTGGCAAAGATGGTCACCATTCGGACAGTGTTGGCAGTGGCAGTAGCCAAAGACTGGGAACTTCATCAAATGGATGTCCATAATGCTTTTACGCACGGCGATCTTGAGGAAGATGTGTACATGAAAATGCCGCCGGGGGTTCTTGGTACGCTATTTAAAGGGCTGCACTCACGCGTGGTACGCTATTTAAAGGGCAGCCCGGGTCAGGGTGTGCTTTTAAAAAGAGAGAGTGACCTTCGTCTTTATGGTTGGTGTGACTCGGATGGGCAAGTTGTCCTCTAACTCGAAGATCTCTCACCTAGGTTGGTTTATTTTCCTTGGTCAATCCCCGTTTCTCGGAAAACCAAGAAGCAACATACGGTTTCTAGATCATCCGCTGAGGCGAGAATATCGTTCTATGGCCGACACGACATGTGAGTTGAAATGACTTCAAGGCCTTCTTTCGAGCCTAGGCATTACTCACACCAGACCCTATGACTCTCTATCGTGACAACCAAGTCTGCCCTTCACATTGCCAAGAATCCTGTGTTTCATGAACGGACAAAACATATTGAAGTGGATTGTCATCTTATTCGTGATGAAATACAACACAATCATATCCAACCCTCCTATGTGTCCACTCATCATCAACTGGTCGATCTCTTCACCAAATCTCTTGGCGCCACTAAATTTGGTTCTTTTTTAGGCAAGTTGGGCATTCACAACCTTCATACTCCATCTTGAGGGAGGGTGATAAACATAGAATATACGATTACAAATACCGTATCATGCCATGATTCTACATGATTAATTTTTTCCATATTTAGCTTGGCATGACAACGATGCACAGTGATGCACATTAATGTCATATATGTTAATAGACAAATTTAGGATACCGACTATAATGGTTAGCGTAATTATAGCCTAGAATGTTTACGTATTTCATGTATATATTGTACTATCATATTCAATACAAGACAGGGGTTTTTGGAAATATTTTTATCACGGTCACCTATAATTTTATCAAAAAATTATAAAAATATAAAAAAAATAGAAAATAGTTAAATATATTAAAATTATTACTATAAGTTATAATAATATTATTTTTGTATAATATAATCATAATAATTATTAAAATATAATAATTAAATTAACATAAATTTATCATTTTATTATTATAAATAATAATAACAATTTTTTTATAACTTAATTATTATTGCAAATAAAAACAAAATAAATAATGATCATTATACAATAATAATATTAATAATAATTATTATATTATTATTATTATTTATTTTATTAATAATATAAAATTTATTGTTATTAGTTATAATAATATAATAATTATTATTATAATATAATAATAAAAGTTGTACTACCACTTCTTCCTATATTTTAAAATAAAATTATTATTTCTTCATATACAAATGAATAATTATTTTTTTAATTTACTTATCTCAATAAATAAATAAATAATTGTAGCATTTGGATGCAAATGATCATAGAGAAAAACATCTGCGTGGAAAAATCCCTTAATATAAAAAGTAAAAACCTACGGACACAAGTCACGTCGAGTCAAACTTTATTAAAATAAAAGTATGAATATAAGAGAATCAAATCAAAATGCATAAACAAGTGCCTACAAAGCAGCTAAAGGAACCGTGCTTTCAAATTGGATAAACAATCCTCTTTTTTTACCAAGTTCAATATTTATAAGATTAGTAAATATTTATTTATTTCGATGTAACAATAAAAATAAATTACTATTTTTAACAAGTAGTTTTATTGGTTGGATAATAGGTCACACTTTTTTTATGAAATGGATTGAATTTTTTGTAGTCTGCATACGGCAGAAAAGAAACCTTAAAATCAGTCACAATGTGAGATTGACATCTCCAACTACAGAACTTTAATTGACGATCCCAACG